GTTCTTTGGGGAATGAGGGAACGAATTATGGAAACCCTTTTCAAAGGTTGTGCACAGGGGTGATGTAAGATACCTAAATCAGCGAGTTCCTTGCTTATAATCAGTTACCCTAAAAAATAAGCCCTGCACCCTAAACCCTAAACCCCTTCTCTCTCGCTCTCTCTCTCTCTCTCTCTCTCTCCCTCTCTCAAGACTTGCAAAGTGGACTACATTGGTTCTGCTGGAATGGCTCGTGTTCTGAAGACGCATTCCGTTGCAAGTTTATGTTGCTTCAAACCCTAGAGCTCTCTCCGCAGTTTAGGGTCTAGGGCCGGTTTAGGGTGTAGGGATTAGGTAAACTTAGAAAGTTGAGAACGGGGCGGCGGGGAGGGGGTGGGGGGGGGGGGGGGGAAAACCGCCAGCTTGCTGTGTATTCGGAGGGGTTAGGGTTTAGGTCCTATAGGCTTTATTAGGTTCAGGGTTTAGGGATCCAGTGAGAATCGTGCGTGCAGTCAAGCTGCTTGTTCCCTCAGAAGAGCTGAAGCGCAAAACGCAACTTCACACCTGGCAAACCCCAGGCCCCAAGAAAACCGTTATATCGGCACTGATGCAAGTTCAAGGGGGACCCTTATGACGGGACCTCACGGGCTATTTGGGGGCTACTTAGGAAAAATCTCCTTTAGCAAGTGGGCAGTTCTCCAAATTAGGGTCCCTTTTCGGGTGCTAGTTTTAAGGGTGCCGTACTATGTAGGGGACCCAAGAAAGGCCCCCCAATTTAGACTAACTACCCAAGTGTATTTCCCGCGCCTTCATGGCTCCTCAAGATGTATGCTTCATGGAGTCAATGACAGTTCAGCTCCTGTGCAAAGTAGCAGGGGATCAGAGTCCTGAGACCCCTTCAAACCCTCAACCCCAACCCATCCTCGAACAAACCCTCAACCCCTACAGCCTACACCCTAAACCCTACACCCTAAACCCTAAACACCTTACATCCTAAACCTGAACCCTGGCTGGCAACAACCAAGGAAATGCTGGCGTTTTAAGGGCGCCACGACCCCGGAGGGGGAAAGGGCCGCTTTGAGCCAGGCGGAAGAGTTAGGGTTTAAGGCGAAATGAGTTCTCAATCAGAGAAGAGATGTCGAAGGTATTTGTCTTTACTTGAAGGTCCATGGGTGCTTAGAACCCCAAATATAAGTCGAATTACGTCTAACCTATTTGCAGGACTGAGGGGGCTTGCAAGTCCAGTTATAGTTGGGGTAGCAAGTACCCTGAACCTCCAGGTCGGGGGTTCTCATGATGAAATGTATGGACAGAGATATATAGTATTCAATTCAGGGGTGATCAGGCTCTCCCCCGGCTGGCGAAAACCCTGTTGCATTGCTGGGGATCTTGGTTCATCTGAGGTCGCGTAAGGGCTCTGTTGTGCTACTCTGCTACCACAGATTGAGCAGTCGGATGCACGTCCGTCGGCATGGCATGGTCAGGGCTTGTTTCATTAGGGTTTGGGATCTAGGGCCTGGGTAGGGCCTTGGGATGCTTTTGTATTTTGCCTCATTGGGTTGTGAAAAAAGGAGCATATATTAGGAGTGTTGTTCAGAGGGTGTTGAGGGCCATCCGAGGATCTGTCTTTGTTTTGCAAACACCCCAAGCCCGAGGGAATTTGCATAGAAACGCAGGCCTTCTGGGAACAAATCGGACATGGGGGTTGTTGGGGATGTTCCCCTTGAAACAGTCCTCAATAGGGGAATATAGTACCCTGATTTAATTCCCTATTAAAGACTGTTAGTAGACGGGGGAACATCCCAAATGGGTGTGTGTGTGTGAGGTCTTCCTACGGTCCTACACCATGTAGACAAAAAGGCTGCTTGTGTCTGGGCACTTGCGACAGGCCAGAGGTTTGTTTTGGAGGCGGAGAGAATATGGGGAAGGGCTTCAGGTTGGAGCTGGGTGTTTTCACCCGAACTGGCCAAACCCTAAACCCTAAACCCTAAATTACTGACGAAGGGTGTGTGATTTTCGCAGATTGATGCCCGGAACTTAGGGCGTAGGGTTTTGGATCTAGGGTTGGCGCAGGCAAACTTCCCCACTATCAAGATGAAGTTCCGTGCCCTGGCCTGCAAGTTGAGTGGTTTAGGGTTTAGGGTTTAGGGTTTTGGGGCGCAAAGGGCCCCCGGACGAGGCTTTTTTAGTTTTCTAGGAGCCCAGCAGTGCATGGTGCGTGTCCCGAAAAGCTCGATACCCCTTGCTACTAGTTGCGTAAGAACCCCCCCAAAAATGGAAGAAACATCCCTATAATACCCTTATAAGGAAGAATAATTCTATTTTTTGGGGGGTTCTTAAGCAATTGGTAGCTTGAGTCTTGTTAAGGAAAACCCAAAACAAGGATTTAGGGTTATTCTGACTTAAGGCCACCTTCCGCAATTAAGGGGCCATGCCATCTCCGTTGAGACCATCCTTTTTTTCTGCAGCCAGTTCGACTCATGAGTGAAAGGTTTTAGGTTTAGGGTTGTGACGTGCTAGGAATGGTATATTCTGGAAATAGCTCAAGAATTAAAAAGGTAAAACAAAGTTAAAACAAAGGTGGTCATGCAAAGGTGGAAGAAAGGTGATGCTTCATATGAATGGTAAAAGAAAGGTGGTCATGCAAAGGTGAAAAAGGTGACGCTGGATATGAGAGGTAACAGAAAGGTGGTAATGCTAATGCTGAAGCGGGAGCATGTGATGCTGGATATGAACGGTGAAAGAAAGTGGCGGTGCAAAGGCAAAATAAGGGAAGGGGGGCGGTCGAGGCGGCAGCGGGGTTTAAGGGGAACCTCCAAAACCTCCCAACCTAAGCGGGTTAAGGTGTAGGGTTTAGGGTTTAGGGTTTAGGGATTCCCTACTAATGCAACCCTTCAGGGGCTTCTGGGGCTTCGGAACGTCATTGCTCCACCGTCGATTCCCGGAACGCGAATGAATCCGGAACCCGAGTCCCCTTTGCAAGGTTAGGATCCCATGAACACCTATTTAAACACAGAAGGGTACCTTTTTCCCCTCTCAATCCCAATCCCAACTCATCAACCAGGAGTAGACTAGAATACAGACCAAGGTTACACGGAAGAGGATGTGGAAGTCATTTGGCGGCCGGAGGCCTACCTCGGCAAAAGGACCGCGCCCCCCCTCAAGCTGCAGCTTGATCTGGGGAAACCCTGTCCCGAAAACCCTAAAGCCTAAACTCTGAACCCTACAAACCCTGAACCCTAAATTACCCTAAACCCTAAACCCTAAACCCTAAACCCTAAACCCTAAACCCTTAATTGCCCTAAACCCGCCCGAAACCCTAAATTACCCTGAACCCTAAGAGCTCCATGGCATCATGCCACAGAAAACGAATGACACCTGTTCAAGGGGGCAGTTGCTGTTCATATTGTTTTGCGACTATGACCCGCGGTAGGCCCTTATTTTGTTTTTTTGGGTCATTTTTTGTTTTAAATCAGGAAACCAAAAAGGGTACCATTTTTATTCCTAGGTTACTCAGGGGTCTAGATATTATACGAGTTGTTCAATATGTTTCTAGGGACCCGGCGTCCTGATGTAAGGTCCCTCATGGGCTTACCTTGCAGCTGTTCCCTACACACCCTAAACTCTTCCACCCTTCAAACCCTAACCCCCTGAACCCTGAACCCTGAACCCTGAACCCTAAACCCTAAACCCTAAACCCTAAACCCTAAGCCCTAAACCCTAAACCCTAAACCCTAAACCGAAACCCATGTCCGTCGGATCCTGAGAGCGCCACGAAGTCTTTCACACTGTTGCGGATGGTAGGGAGCCTTCAATTTGGGGGCGGGGGTATGCATAAATTTTAGGCTTTAGGGTTTAGGGTTTAGGGTTCAGGGTTTAGGGTTTAGGGTTTAGGGTTCAGGGACCTAGGGTTGGTTCTCAGTAGCTTGACTCCTTGGCCCAACAACTCCCGGGCTCGAGTTAAGATGTTCAGAGCTGTCCGGGTATTTATTTTTCCCAGGTCTTCCTGCTTGGCTGCCGTAAACCCTAAACGCTAAACCAGGAACGGATCCAGACCACCTGCGGTTCGGGCAGCTATGCCGGAGCGAAAAAAAGCCTAAACCCTAAACCCTAGATTGGAGCCCAGCCCCGAACCCTCAACCCTGACGGTAGCATCCCGCACAGAGTCAGGATACGCATGGGGGAGCTTTGCTACGCCTTCGCCGCCATGAAGCAGGCGGAGGGGATTAGGGATTTGGGATTTGGATTTCTGCCGGCTGGTGGTCTCCGTTTTTTGTAGGGCTTGCGTCTCACCTTCTGTTCTGCATCCCATCCCTTATGGAACCACCTATACTGTATGGTGTCTTAGCCTTATGGGCGTGCAGTGGTTCAGCGCAGTTGCTTTCATCTGCTGCAAGATGGCAGTATTTGCATTTTTTGTCGGATTGCGCTTGCTAAGACTTAAAACCCTCAAGCCCTAACAGCCCTCAAGCACCAAAACCCTAAACCCGAAAGCATAAACTCTAAACCCTGAACCCTAACCCTAAACCCTAAACCCTAAACCCTAAACCCTAAACCCTAAACCCTAAACCCTAAACCCTAAACCCTAAACCCTAAACCCTAAACCCTAAACCCTAAACCCTAAACCCTAACTTAGCATCTGAAGCCCCACCCAACACCCAGCCCCTAGGAGCTGCCGCAGTTCCTGAATGGGTTTAGGGTTTAGGGTTTAGGGCAATTGTGTTACCAGGCCGAGACCCTGGACCCTAAACCCTAAACCCTAAACCCTAAACCCTAAACCCTAAACCCTAAACCCTAAACCCTGAACCCTATAAGAAAGGGTTTCTTGGGCTCTTACGGTGGCAGATCGACCAGACCATCCTCGGCATCTCCTGGCTCCTGCACAAGGTTTCAGCGCCGGGGGGGGGGGGGGGGGGGGGGGGGGGGGGGGGGGGGGGGGGGAATTCGAGCAAGCCCTAAACCTAAACCCTAAACTCTCTAAACTCTAAACTCTCTAAACTCTAAACTCTAAACTCTAAACTCTAAACTCTAAACTTAAACTAAACTCTAAACCTAAACCCTAAACCCTAAACCCTAAACCCTAAACCCTAAACCCTAAACCCTAAACCCTAAACCCTAAACCCTAAACCCTAAACCCTAACCCTAAACCCTAAACCCTAAACCCTAAACCCTCCCTAGGGCTGCAAGGCGACGGACTGTCAGGTTTAGGGTTTGAGTTTCTAGTATCCCACACATGGGCAGTTCTCTACATGATCTATTGAACCATCTGAGGCTTTAAAGTTTCAGGGTTTCGTGTACTCAGTTGTGACGCTTCCCAACTTAGTGAGGGTTTGTCAACCATTCTTGCCACGCCGCGCGTTTCTAACACGCCTAGGGCACCTGTTCCCCGTGTTCTTCAATTGTTGGTGCTAAGCTCTGACACATCGGGTTTGGGTTTAGGGTTGAGGGTTCAGGATTGATAGGGTTTAGGGTTTAGAGTTTAGGGTTTAGAGTTTAGGGTTTAGGGTTTAAGTTTGAGGGTTTCCCGAGAGCCAGGACGCCATCTTCGACGTGACCAGCCAGAGGTTTGGAATTGTTGACGCGGACTGCCCGTCGCATCACAAGGCCATGTGTTAAGAAGGATGCGTTTGGGGTTTAGGGTTTACAGGGTTCTGGGTTTAGGGTTAGGGCTTATAGGGCCGCAGGGATTAGTACCATATAATTCTGGCGGCTACATAGCATGGGTTGGAGCTGCAAGGATCTTAGGAATTGAGGCGCTTTGGCTTGAGGCCTTGTGGCTTCAAGGGCCTGTTTCGAATAATGTATGCAGTGCCCCCTAAACCCTAAACCCTAAACCCTAAACCCTAAACCCTAAACCCTAAACCCTAAACCCTAAACCCTAAACCCTAAACCTTGTCTTCACTTTTGGCCCGTTGCGGCAGACTAGCCCCTGATCTTCTCTAGACCATGGAGTGGTGTATCTGTAGGACATCGTAGACACCACCCTTTGGCACGACTTGGTTTAGAAGGCCTAAACCCTAAACCCTAAACCCTAAACCCTAAACCCTAAACCCTAAACCCTAAACCCTAAACCCACGAAGTCCAACCCAGAGCCCTTTGCCATCCCTGCAGATTCCGACATCGCTGTGGGAGATGTTCTCGGGCCCGAGCTGGCTGCTGCAGCCTAGGCCGGGTTCGGGAAGGGGTTTAGGGTTTAGGGTTTGGGGTTTGGGGTTTGGGGTTTTGGGTTTGGGGTTTGGGGTTTGGGGTTTGGGGGTTAGTAAGGTTTAGGGAAGGGGGCAGGGTGTCAAGGGTTTCTGGTGCTTTTGGCGGTCGTTTTTGAGGTTTTAAAGCTTCCCACCCAGTCTCCGTGCTTGGTATTTTTTCTCCTCCCTGCCCTTCCATTCCCTTCCCTCAACAACAAGAGACCCGCAGTCGGCCCTAATTTCCTTTTTTAGGCTTGGGGTTCTCTATTAATCCTTTTAAGACCCACAAAGGGTACCCTTTTTTATTCCAGGTGACTCCTGGGTCTAGAAGCCCGAAACCCTAAACCCTAAACCCTAAACCCTAAACCCTAAACCCTAAACCCGGGTTTCCTGAAGCCCGGAACGAGGCTGTCCATCTCCCTGCCGCTTGTTGCGGTGTTGCTTGCTGGTGGCTTCATGCTGCGCCCTGGCGGTTTAGGGTTTATAGGGTTTATAGGGTTTAGGGTTTAGGGTTTAGGGTTTAGGGCTTAGGGTTTAGGGTTTAGGGTTTATGGTTTAGGGTTTAGGGTTTAGGGTTTGGGGGGTTCCTTTTGTCACCGATAGCTGGGCTTTGGGTGCTCCAACGGTGTTCTGCAGTTTGCGGCCAACCTTGCCGGCTAGCGGATCAGGGGCCTGGATGTAAAAAGAAGGGTTTAGGGCTTAGGGTTTCGGGTTCAGGGCTCTCTTGCAGACATTCTGCTTGAAGATCCAAGCCCTCAGCCCTTCTTCAACCCGAAAGGCCTAAACCGCGGCTCTCAACATTCAACTCGAATCTTAGCCCCCCCCCCATACTATGTGAACCTTAAAATTCTCAATTCCACTAAACCCTAAACCCTAAACTCTACTTAAACCCTAAACCCCTCAAGATGAGAACCCTTAACCCCTAAACCCTAAACCCTAAATCAGTGTGAGAGTCGAAACCCTAAATCATTCAACTCGAATCTTAGACCCGCCCCCATATGTGGACCTTAGAGCCGTCAAATCTCCGCTCAGGATGGCGTGCAGGTTCTGGCGGCTCTTCTCGGCGCTCTATGCTCCTCGCCTCATCTACACCACACCCTGAGCCCGACCTCACATAGCCCTAAACCCTAAACCCTAGACGCTGCAACGAAAACTCTCCGAAGAGAGGCAAATAGCCCTTGGCTTGCATTTCAGAACCTCTATATATTTTCCATAATTTGTGGGTGGCTCTTAAGCAAATAGCAGAAACTCCTGAATCCTAAGCCCGAAACCCTGAATCCGAACCTGCTGGGAGGCACCGCGCGTGGAGCAGTCCGAGACCGGACCACTCCTCTGAGGTTCAAGCAAAGCGGGGGGCCAAAGGCCCCCCCCCCGCCTTTCAAGTCTAGGGCCGTTTGTCTGGGTTGTGCTTTGGGAGACTTGTCAATTTCCTCTCTTTCCGTTTAAGGGAACCTATTCATAAATAATTTTCGAAGGGTTTAAAGCACAACTCAGTAGGGTTTAATTAGAGGGTTTATAGGGTGTGCAGGGTTAAAGGGTTTATGGGTTTATTGAGTTTCCTAATGTCCATATTGGGGGTTTCCCAAATTAGGGGTACCTGCTTGGGGTCTTTACTATAAGGGATCCCGACTAGTTGGCGGTTTATATTAGGGGTCCCTTTTTTCCGTTAACCCCCATATTGGGATTGCATCCAGGGGTTTGATCACGGAGGGGACCAAGAAGCTAACTTCTGCATCTTCTTCTTCTTATTCTTCTTCTCGTGGCTAGACGTTGATGCGTGTGCTGGTGTCCTGTAGGAAAATTCTTGCGTTCAGCATCTTTTCTTTCCAGGGAGGGGACTGAAGTTGAGGTTTTTTCCGATCTAGACGTTGGAAGCTTACGCTTTGGGATTTAATTAGTGGGGGGTGTAGGAGGATGCCAAACTTCTGCCTGACAACTGCAAGAAATTCGAGCCCAGTCAGGTTTTGGTTGTAGCCAGGCGCCGCCGTTCGAAACGAGGGCGGTCGCAATCGCGACTGGTTGCTTCTGCACATAGAATAGGTGCCTACGTGCATGAAGGCACGTAGATGCGGCGCTGTGTAGATCTGAGGTCCTTGGCCCTACAAGAGCACCAAGCTGCGGTAGTATGGCCCAGCCCACCCTGCACCCCAAAGGGCTCCTCCTCATGAACTAAGGTGGAAGTCGTAAGGGTTTAGGGTTAGGGGTGGTTAAGGCTTAGGGTTTAGGGCAGGAAGTATACGGTTCCATTCGGTTCGTTTCTGTTCAGACAAGGGGCGTTTCCGGGCGGTTCGGTTCGGGGACTGTTCGGTTCTGTGCGGTTCGCGGTTCTTCGCGGTTCTTCTTCGTCGCTTAGGGGACTAAAGGAGGGACCCTTAAAAGGGATTTTAGGGGCTAAGTGTTCTGTGAAGCCACACGCCTACCCACCCCTCCAGCCACCACCCCTCCAGCCACCCCCCCCTCCAGCCACCCACCCCCAGCCACCCACCTCGCATGGCTGGAGGTGGCTGGAGGGGTGGGTGGCTGGGAGGGTGGGTGGCGGGAGGGATTCGTGGCTGGAGGGGTGGGTGGGTGGCTGGAGGGTGGTGGGTGGCTGGAGTAGCTGGAGGTGTGGGTGGCTGGAGGGGTGGGTGGCTGGAGGGGTGGGGGGTGGGGGGCTGGAGGGGCGAGGGTGCGAGAGAGAGAGACACAGAGAGGGAGAGAGAGAGAGAGGCAACACAAACACATACTCGGTTCCGGTTTGGATGCGGTTCCCTCCGGTTCGCTGTAGTCACTGTTTCCTGCGGTTCGGTTCGTGAGCGGTTCGGTTCAGCGTTTCCGGTTCGGTTCCGCGACCTTCCTGCTAGGGTTTAGGGTTTAGGGTTTAGGGTGGAGGGTGGAGGGTGGAGGGTGTAGGGTTTGGGTTTGGGTTTGGGGTTTAGGGTTTTGGTTCAAGCGTTTTCAGTTTTCAGGTGGAAGTCTTAAGGGGGTTCTAGGGCTGTGGGATACCAAGTGCAAGGGCTTCAGTGTCTGTCAGCCCTCCATTCCCACAAAGGGGAACTCGCTGCTGAAGCACCGCCCACCGTGTGGCAGACAAAAGTCAAAAGTCTGTGCCGCTGAGCCCCAAACCAAAAGCCCCAAACCCTCAAAGTTTGAACGCTTGCAACTCTGATCCCTAAACTCCAGGATTTAGCGTTTAGGGTTAGAAGAGGGGAGGGAGGGGCACAACTGGTTTTATGTGAGCCATAGGTGTTCAGAGTTTGGGGTATAGGCGCCGGGTTAATTATGTTTTGTTTGATAAGGAACCCTGATGCATGATTTTGATTAGCAAGGCCCGACAAGGCTGCAAGGCTCAGGAACCCCTGAGTTGCTAAACCTCAGCACTTCGAGGTTTACAACTTCTAATGTTTCCTGGCTCTAAGATGGTTAGCCCTCAGCCCTAAACCCTAAACCCTAAACCCTAAACCCTAAACCCTAAACCCTAAACCCTAAACCCTTGCAAAAAGGGCTCTTGGGAGTCCAGGTTTCGAAGCCGAATTCTGCCAGACACCCCAAACCCTCAACCCACTGTAGCCCCAAACCATGGTCTAGGGTTTAGGGTTTAGGGTTTAGGGTTTAGGGTTTAGGGTTTAGGGTTTAGGGTTTAGGGTTTAGGGTTTAGGGTTTAGGGTTTAGGGTTTAGGGTTTAGGGCAAGATCAAGCCTCTTGCCGACAGGCCTCGACTGATGCTCATCGTGCACAATGGTTTCCATGTTGGCCACGGCCGGGCTGAGACGGGAGACCATTTCCCGGTACCGACTGAGAGACATAAAACCTGTGCAGACGAGCCCGTCGACTACTACATACATACTCTCCGCTATGGTATATTATTGTTTGTTGGAGTCTAGTTCAATGTAGGGTTTCGGTCTCAAACTTGTTGTTTCAAGGGTGCACGGTTTAAGGTAAGCTGGGTTTAAGGCTAAGGGTGCTAGGTATAAGGAGTAGCTGCACAAGGCAAGGTACGAGGTGCAATTCTAGGGCTTGGTTCAAAGGCTTCAGGTTCGAGGTCTAGGACCACGGCCTCTACTTGGGTTTGACCTATAAGCCCTAAACCCTAAACCCTGTTGAGTACTAGTCTTGGGCTTGATTCCTGGATTTCGGTATAGAGGTGGTAGGGTCTCCAAGTGTTCACCTGAAGAACCCATAACTTATCGTTTGGTGGGTCACCTGGGCACCCTAATTTCAGGTTTAGGGTTTAGGGTTTAGGGCTTAGGGTTTAGGGTTTAGGGTTTAGGCTTCAGCTCCCCGAGTCAAAAGGGTTTAGGGTTTACTCTGCACCTACACAAAGGCTTCGGGTTCTTGAGGTAGTAGTTAAGGTGCGCTCACAACGCGCTCACAACTCTCAGGGATCATGGTTGGAGGTTCAGGGGCTGCCCTAAACCCTAAACCCTATAGGGCTCAAGGGTAGCAAAGAAACAGGGCTCAAGGTGTAGGGTGCTGGAATGGGCGGGGGGGGCGGGGGGGTGGGTGGGGCGGTTTCTCTCGCAGCTGTATCTTCCCAAATGGCTCAGAGGGGTTGGGGGGGAAACAGGGGGCCGAACAGCGGCCCACTTGGCTGGATTGATGCAGGAACCTAAGTTAGCGTTTACGGTTTAGGGTTTAGGGTTTAGGGTTCGAAGAGGAGGAAGACAACTAATAACGTGCACCCCTCCCCCCAACAGAAAGCAAAACAAGTCCGGCACAGCGGCTAACTAAGCCTTTAGACCCTGAGCCCCACACAGCCTAAACGAAACCTGAAACCCAAAGCCCTAAACCCAACGGAAGACTCCCTAAACCCTAAACACTAAACCCTAAACCCTAAACCCACCGAAAGACCCTCAACCTTGGCTTTCGTGTGCTCGGCCTGCACGTTGTGACCAGGGCCTCGCGAGAGCCTCGGACGTCCTGGGTTGCTTCCTTCCCAGAACTTCCAACAGCACTTAATGAATGAATAGGGCTTAGGGCTTGGCGTCGCATTCGGACTCTTAGTCTAATCCATGGAATAGTCCTTCATTCAAGGATATGATTCGAAGTTCTGGGATCCCAGTATCCCATGTTGCCCCTCTGGTTCCATGCTATGGAAGGACCCCTTGACCCCCTTTCGTGAGACCCTATCGGCCCTATAAAGCCCTACATAGACCCCACCGTGAGAGTTTACGCTGCATGTCGCCTTGTGCCCTTTAAAAGGCATCGGGGCCTTGTGTCGGGATGTTGCCCCTAAACCCTAAACCCTAAACCCTAAACCTAGAATAAGTGGTGGTGGTGGTGGTAGTGGTGGTGGTGGCTTAAGGGGATCACTGGAAACATCTCTTCGACCCAAGATGTTCTCGGTTGTGAGCAGTGGTGCACTTTTCCTGGAAAGGTATGCTCAATGATGTGGTCTCACGCGCTGGTGCTAAATCCTAAGCCCCGCCACTGGCCGCAGTTCTCCTCGTAATGGAACGATGGCATCAGGTTAGAGCCCTAAAACCCTTAAACCCTCGGCCCTAAAACCCTAAACTGTCAGAGACCTGCGGAACGGTTCGTCCAGCTATGCGGGTGCCCACCTTAAAACCCTGAACCCTGAAACCCTGAAACCCTAACCCCTAAACCCTAAACCCCAAACCCCAAAAAACCCCAAGCCCCAAACCCAGAACCCTGAACCCTGAAACCCTGAAACCCTGAAACCCTCAAACCCTCAAACCCCAATACCCTAAACCCTAAACCCTGAAACCCTAAACCCTAAACCCTGAACCCTGAAAGCCCCAAACGCAAGGCTCATGCCGAACCTCGGTCCGATGCTGGGCACGGGGCTTAGGTCGAAGGCGGCTGCGTGCCACCTCTGCATCTGGTTTAGGGTTTAGGGTTTAGGGTTTAGGGTTTAGGGTTTGGGGTTTGGGGTTTAGGGTTTAGGGTTTAGGGTTTAGGGTTTGGGGTTTGGGGTTTAGGGTTTAGGGCTGGAATGTTCCCCCCGTATGCTAACAGCTCCTTAATAGGGATGATAAACTGTTGGTATAAGGGGGAACATCCCATTGTGTAGTGTCGGTTCTGGGGTTTAGGGTCTGAGGAATGGGGTGTAGGGTTTAGGGTGTAGGGCCGAGGTATTATTAGGGTTTACGATCAGGGTTTGGAGTGTAGGAACTTGGGGCGTGTAGTTAATTGCAGGATTCATGGTGTAATGCGCGCTTAGGGTTTTGGGTGTTTTGGATTTACTTCGGGGGCCTTTGACATCCGAAATTGAAAACTGCACCTTCAACTTTCTTGGGGCTCTGAATTGAAACTCTACTGTCCGATTGAAGGGTGTTGTGTGCTCTGGGCTGACACCACCCCCTCATACGAAGCATGTGTGCTATGATAGGCAGC